TGAACTGCATGCGAACTAGAACAGTCGGCAGCACTCGCTACTCTTATCCTTGTAACGATATCGGCTGTTACTCACATAACGAACCCAGAGATCATAGTGTTAAGCTTATTTGGCAGTACTGCGTCTCGAACTCGAGACCCTCGGATTTTTTTGTCCGATACGCTAACCTCTAGGTCACTCTCAAGCCATAGAACGAATGACGTTTGGCTTCGAATCAACGTTAGGGATGACGAATACTGAATAAGATATAATGATAAATGTTAGTTATTAAAGATATTGTAAAACAACAACATATAGTTTGATACGTATAAAACATGATAAATGTTAGTTATTAAAATTATTGTAAAACAACAACATATAGTTTGACACGTATGAAACATGATAAATGTTAGTTATCAAAGATATTGTAAAACAACAACATATAGATTGATATGTATAAACCATGACGAACTGTGACTAACAAGAATCACCTCACCTTGCAGAATCTCCTAAGATAAAAAACCGCATTTTATGTTGTTTCATGTTGTATTATATTCTCGAAACACACTCACCAATTTGGATTTGGAGAATATCACATACCTCCACATAAAATATCGACTTCAGGGACGTCATGATATAAAAGACGTTTAGTTTAGATGTTAATGGTTGATTTGTTATAATAAGAGTTAAGGGCAGACAATTGTGGGAGGTTTTGTTAATAATTCATTGATGTTGAGACTATTGAACATCGCGTGCAATACATTGACGTCGAGAATATAGAAGGCGGACAGACGATTAGATGATAAAATTAGAAATAGCGTAAGACGAGCAGAAACAGCAGAAGAGAGTAAAGTTACAGGCCAAGGAAAAGTTGGGTGTGAAGTTAAGTACTTTAGAAGTGACAGACCTATAATGATTGACATAGGCCTAACGTTTCGATACCAGTGGTGGGCAGAGCACATATAGCCCTTTGTGTAGCTTTGTGCTTAACTACAAACAAACAATTAAATATATTTTAAATTCTGACAGGGGAATAGTATACTTCAGTAATTTGGAATGTGAGTCCTCATCGAGAAATGCCACTTAGTGTCAATAAATTATTGTTACGACAGCGGAAGTCCCGCAACGCTGGGAGCATGAGCGCTGGAGTTTCTCAAAGGATCATGAATTTTCCTGGCAACTCTAGTTTGTTTCAGGCGCCCTCTTTTTTAGTATATAAGCCCGGCAAATAAAGCCAGCGAAAAAAGATAGAATTGCAAAGATAGGTAGATATAGAGATAGATAATTGAGTCAAGC